TCCTGGTGGATATTTGCCATGAGATTTTTTTTCCTGGTTGTTTTTCTTTGAACACAAGTAAGACAAAGGCAAGGAGAGAGACTGAATGCTTGGTGCACTGACCAACAGAATTCAGAGCTCTGATATCTAAAGTTTTGTAAATTTTTATTTTCTTCCCACCTTAGGAGCTTCAGGCGTCCTCTAGGAGGCCTCCGAATCGAGCCCCTCCCTCCAGCTCTCTCCTTTTCCCCCTCCCCCAAAGCCCACCATTTTTCCTTTCCCAAGATTCTTTCCCCGAGCTCCGCGGCACCAAAATGGAGGACGGGGTGGCGGGGAGGAGATGAGGTAAATGGGAGGGGTGTCTCAAACTGGGCTCTGCACCTGCCCCCCACACTGTCCCCAGCACCGACCTGGGCCTATCCTTGCTGTCTCCTTCTCCCGATTCTCGCCGTGAGGGCGCCGCCGCGACACTTGACACTTATACCAGCAGACCTGCAGAGGGCCGACGTGGAGAGAGCGGAGACTGGCCAAGCGCTTGGCGCCGACTCGCCACCACCTGGTCCCTTCCGGGTCCCGGGTCCCCCTGCCACCCCTATGTGCATCTCCCGCCCTCACCCCTAACCTCCCCCCCCACCCCGCCCCGGAGGTTCACCATTTTACTGTAAGAACTCGGGGGTGATTTCCAATCGCTTTTAGTTGCTCTGCTGCCCTCCCGGCCGCCCCAGCACCCCCACCCCAGGGGGCCACTACTGATGTTCCCCAGAATGCCGGGTGTGGAGAAAGCTGGTAGGGACCCGCTGCGCCGATCCCCTGCGCTGGCCTCCGGGGTAGGCCGACCACAGCCGCCCTGGCCTCGGCGCGCGGGCTCCGGAGCACTTACCTGCTCCGCTTTCCTTGGGCCCAATGCCAGCCCGCCAGGCGCAGGACAGCGGGGAACCGGTACCCAGACGCGAGTGACGACTGCACCGAAGGCTGCGTCGCTCTGCAGCTCCAGGTCACGTGAGCGCCCCGCGTCACCAACGCGCTCGGCCCCCCAACTCCAGCGGCTTGTGCGGCGGGAATACCCGCCCCCACCCCTCGCCTCGCGCACACGCACAGGCAACTCTCTCCGCCTGTTTCTGCTCAGCTGCACAGCACTGCCCCGTCACTCAGCTTGGTCGTCTCCAATTTGTGGGCCGGCTAGTGCCTCACCTCCCCGCGCTTGGAGTCTACCCTTCTCCGGTTACCGGGGAGGGTCTGCAACAACCTCCACCCCTCCCGCTCCTGCCCCGGACCTTGAGTCTTTAGGAAAGCAGCATTTATTATTAAAAGAATATTTAGTAGGTGTTTATTGTGATAAAGGAACCAAAAGAGTTACATGCACTGAGACCAGACAGGCCTATTTTAATAAACAAAAGTGACTAAAAATTTGGGGAACAGGATTGAAATGTGGTTAAAGAATCCCATTACCCAGTAGAAAAAGGGGGAGGAGCTTGACAGAAAGAGTACTATTGAGACAGCTACTGGGGGAAAAAACCTGTTGTGTAATTTTGCAACCTGTTGTGTAATTTTGCCTTAACTAGTTATCCCTTAATCGAACCGTGGAGATGTCAGATTCCCATCAGAGGAAGCTCTTTGCTAAAATCTTTTTCCATGTCACCATCATATAGCTTACATGTATTTGGCTAGAAATGCGCCCAGTTGTATTGTAGTTATTATCCTATTTTTCTCTCATTATCCCCTCCTGCATGAATTCCAGGTTTGGGAGATGGTAGGCTCTGTATGGGTTTCTCTGTTCCAGCCTAGAATAGTTCTCTGTGTGTCTTCTTGAGGCTTTGTTGCTACAATCTTACTATAGTTCTCTTTTTCTCTAAATTTAAGCAATTACTGATAAATCGAAACTAAGTATTAAGAATATAGGAAATTAATCCTACTCTAACTTGTCTGAAATAATAACAGAGCTATAAGACTAAGATGTCTGAATGTGAAAGCAACTAATATTCAGCACCTCATTATCTATTAGAGAGCTTTTCTTTATTTCAAGGACTACAAAGATCTTGAGACACCAGAGACCCACGACCATTCGCTCTTATTGTTTAAGACTCTGGTGGAAAAGAAGTTCTGTCCTGTACAGTTTCCTAAAGTGATTAATTGAGCTGGACTATATATGGGCCAAGAGCATTCCCTTGACCTTCCTAGCTTCAGATTTTAGCTAGTACCATTCCTACCTTCCCTTAGACTTTGGGATGAACTTAGAGGAATAGTAGGAGACTTACTTATCATTGTTGATGAGATGACTTTACCTTGCCTTACTGTTGCTAGTCCCATGTAAATTCCATTGATAATACAATTTTAGCACCTCGCAAGGTCCTAGGGCCCAGGAGACTCTTTTGGCTCAAGGATTGTGTCTCACATGGTCACAGGTAACATGTATGTGAGTGAAGCCAGCTGAGCAGGAATCTGGTTAAACTGGAGAGCACATGCTCTATCAATATGGGGACAGTCTTATTTGTTTTCTCACCTTTTCTCACACTTGCCCAGTTCCATTTGGCTGACTTGATAACACATTGGCTTTATGACTATTGTGTGCCTGTGGCTGTCATCTGCAGCATAACATGTAGCTCTTCCAAGTTTCTACTGATAGGTAACAACTTTCCCAAAATTCACTGGTGTAAACTACAACTGATATTTATGCTTACAGATTCTATGAGTCAGAAATTCAGAAAGTACATATCAGGGACTACCCTTCTCTGCTTCAGGACATCTGCAGCCTCAGCTACAATGGCTTGGCTGAGGATATCTTGAAAGGCTATAGGTGACTCAAACAGCTGAATCCTACAACAGCTCAGACTGAGATGGCTTAAGGACAGGTTCATTTGGGACTATCAGCCAAAGTTCCCATATATAGCCTGTCCAACATGGCCATCTCAGGGCTTTTAAAGCAAGTCTTCCTGTAAACGAGGTGGAAGCTATATGGCCTTTTATAACCAAACCTTGGAAGTCACATGGGATCAAGTTTGATACTCCTCTGGTCAAAATAATCATAAGTCCTCTTCTAAGATTCAAGGGGAGGGACTATAGATTCCAACTTTTGATGAAAGGACTGCCAAATAACTGGTAGCCATGTTTTAAAACCATCACACACCTTACTGTTATGTGCCTCTTACAATCCTTTTTTTACCCTCCGGCTAGACAAGGCAGTCAATATGTTAAGTGACACCTGTTTGATTATAGTTATTAAGTACAAAATAATTTTTGAGTAGGACCTAACATGGAATTTCCACAGCCTTGTTCCACCCATATTTTTCCTACCTTAAGGATTTCTAAGAAATTAATTTTTTAAAAAGATTCTATTTATTTATTTATTTATTTGTCAAAGAGAGAGAGAGAGAGAGCGCACAAACAAGGGGAGCCACAAGCAGAGTTGAAGCAGACTCCCTGGCAGGCAAGGAGCCCGATGTGGGACTTGATCCCAGGACTCTGGGATCATGACCTGAGCCAAAGGCAGTGGCTTAAGCAACTAAGCCACCCTGGTCTCCCCTAGGAAATTAATTTTTACTAGAAAAAAAGTTTAGGATGTTTGTCCGCAATTATCCACCTGTGTACTGATTGGATATTGATGTACAAAGTCATCAGAAAGGATTGGAAATAGAACAAAATAAACTGTGAGGCCAAAAGAATGGATTAACCAACTTACAGAACATTAGATTTTATAGTCATGTTTTCTATGCCTTTGCCTAATTTTGGATTTACAGAGTATGATTCATAGTATCACTTGCAGTCCTAAGCTTTCACAGATCATGTATTGTTAAAACTAGAATAACCTCGGAGCACCTGGGTGGCTCAGTAGGTTAAGCATCTGCCTTCGGCTCAGGTCATGATCCTGGGGTCCTGGGATGGAGCCCCTGCATTAGGGCTCCCTGCTCAGCAGGGAGTCTGCTTCTCCCTCTCCCTCTGCCCCCCATCCTCTCTCTCTCACTCTGCTCTCTATCTAAAATAATTAAATAAAATCTTTTAAAAAACCTACAAAAACCCTAGAATTATTTTCATTCAAGAGGCTATTTTAGAAATTGGGAAACTGAGAAAAGGTAAGAGTCTTGCCTAAATTTACCAAAGAAGATAGTGGCAGAACTAGAAATAGAGCCACCTATGCTTTCTTGGCTGATACTGTTGATTTGTTTGTTTATATATATCTGTGTATATATATATATATATATATATATATATATATATATATATCACATACCTTGTAGGTTTATGCATATTGTATATAAAACTAAAGGAAATGCACTAATATTTTATTTATAAGTGCTCTTGGCTTTTGTGGTGATGGGTGATAAGCTATAATAATAAATCTTCTAATTTATGATTATCCACATTTTCCAAATATTACTCTACAATAAATAAAGAGAATAAGCAAGATCTGAGAATAAGCAAGAAATTATTTTTAAAGACTAGTAAAACCAATAATTTTTATGTGTTGGTAGTACAGATGATTTTTATATATCTCTAACAGAAGAGTAAACTCTGTCACACACACATGGGCACACCTCTTCCCATTCTCCCTTCTTCCTCTTCCCCTTACACCCTTATTCCAGCTCCTGAGTCAGGGGCTACATTTCCTATCATGTGTCTGAGACTCAAGCATTAGTCGCATGACAATATCTTGTACCATATTTTATACTTAAAAACCTATGCCCAGTGACTTGATGCCCTTGCTTCTCACTCATCCCTTCCCATTTAGCTGTCCTCATCTTTGAGATGAAAAATGCATTTCTGATGCTGGTCATCAGGTGTTGATTACCCCTATCAGCTAAATTATCTTCAAGGAAAATGTATCCTTTTTGTAAGTAGAAGAAAAAATAATTATTTTTTCTTTTAAATTCAAGTTATGAAATAGCATGTACAGAATTAGCCCAGTTTTTTAAAACATATGTAGTGATGAAAATAAACAACATGAACTAGCAATTGCACTACTGGGTATTTACCCTAAAGATACAAATGCAGTAATCCGAAGGGGCACATGAACCATAATGTTTATAGCAGCAATGTCCACAATAGCCAAACTATGGAAAGAGCCTAGATGTCAGTCAACAGATGACTGGATAAAGAAGATGTGATATATATATATAGATATATCTATATCTATATCTATCTATCTATCTATATGAATATTATGCAGCCATCAAAAAACCCCAAAATGTTTCCATTTGCAACAATGTGGATGGAACTAGAGGGTATTATGCTAAGTGGAATAAGTCAGTAAGAGAAAGACAATTATATGATCTCACCGATATGAGGAATTTGAGAAACGAGACAGAGGATCATAGGGGAAGGGAGGGGAAAATGAGACAAGATGAAACCAGAGAGGGAGACAAACATAAGAGACTCTTAATCTCAGGAAACAAACTGAGGGTTGCTGCAGGGTGTGGAGGGGAGGGATAGGGTTGCTGGATGATGGACACTGGGGAGGATATGTGCTATGGTGAGTGCTGTGAATTGTGTAAGACTGATGAATCACAGACCTGTACCCCTGAAACAAATAATACATTATATGTTAATAAAAAAATAAAAAAAAATAAACAGCATTGAGATGCCTGGGTGGCTGAGTCAGTTAAGCATCTGCCTTTGGCTCAGGTCATGATCCTGGGGTCCTGGGATCGAGTCCCGCATTGGGCTCCTTGCTTAGCGAGGAGCCTGCTTCTCCCTCTGCCTGCCACACCCCCTGTTTGTGTTCTCTTGCTCTCTCTCTCTCTGACAAATAAATAATAAAATATTTTTTAAGAAATAAAAATAAGGGACGCCTGGGTGGCTCAGTTGGTTAAGCAGCTGCCTTCGGCTCAGGTCATGATCCCAGCGTCCTGGGATCGAGTCCCACATTGGGCTCCTTGCTCGGCGGGGAGCCTGCTTCTCCCTCTGCCTCTGCCTGCCATTCTGTCTGCCTGTGCTCGCTCTCTCTCCCTCTCTCTCTGACAAATAA